CTGCCTCTCGGGGGGCGATGCCTCCCTGTTGGGCGCAGGTCCCGCGCTGCGTTACTGCAGCAGGGAGCGCGCAAGCCACGGGGGTTACACCTCCGTCACCTCATCGCTTGCCCTGGCTGGGCACCAGGAGCTGCCTTTGCTCCAGCGAGCAGCGCGCCTTGAAAGGCGCAAGTTTTCGAAAAGTTTCTGCAGCGGGCTGCTCCCTGCGTGGCGCGCACACGCCTGCTTACAAGGCTGGCCCGCGGTCTGTCCCTCCTGCGCGGGGAGTGACTCCGCTGTGTGTCAGCGCGCAGGGATTGCCCTTTGCTGCCACGCTGGAGATAGGGGATAGATAGGGTAAGAAGCGTCAGTGGAGCCCTAGGAGCGCACTTCTCCATGCAGCAGCCACGCACTCTCCATCGGTGTGGGCGACAGGGACTTTTAAGGAAACCCTCCCTCTGGACCTGCCCAGGGAACGAGAGGCCCCCTCGGCTGCGCACTTCGGAGTCAGCCCCGGCCTGTGTAAACCGAGAAGGCAGCATGGGAGTACTTTGGCCATGTAGCTCTCGTGCTGCGGAGCGGCTCTCTAGTCGGCACTGCAGGCGAGAATAAAGTTGCTGCTGACAGGGCAGGTAAAAGGTAGATTGTGCCATCTCTTGACCTCAACTGGCGCTAATCTTTTGACTTCACTTGAACCCTGCCAGTTTACACCAGTTAGGAATCTGGTTCATTTAAAACCTAAGGACGTAGTGGGAGGGAGGAAACAAGGCACCCTGATTGCATAATGTGCAAAGTAGACTCTTTGCTCTTCCCCTGTATTTCTGATTTCACCCCGTGACGGCCCCTACCCCCACCCCATTTTTCTTGCAGTGAAATAGGAGTTCCCCAAAGTGGATCATTGCTTTCCCTCTGCTCGTTCACCGTCCAGTTCAGACTTGCAATGAGTGGACTGAGGTCTCCTGTGCTGCTCGGGCTGGTGCTCTTAATGCTGTCAGCAAGCTATTGCAAAGAGAGAACTGACTCCATAGGTCTAAAGGACAGGCAAAGCCTCTTCAATCTCATCATGGAGATTATTCAGGAACTGAAAAAATACCACACGGAAGAGGACAACGGGGTTCTATACTTCTCCAACCACGATTATACTTTAGACAGAAGAGAAGTAGCTGATTATGGAGAGTACCAGGACGAACAGAGAGCAGGTAAGTCATAGACTGACTGTAATCCAGTCTGCTCTTTTCCTTTCCTGGCAAATAATCTGTTCTTTTTGAAGGGGAACACAGGCATCACTGTACTACTTCTTAAAAGAGGTACTAACCTCTCAGGAGATCTGCAAACTTGCTTCGGAAATACAGAAGTTTCTACAAGAAACTGTCTTTGAAAGTCCAGAGTAGAACTCCACTCTTACTTCTGTCTAATGTACGTTAGAAATGCATTTCACTCAAAGCCAGACCTGCATGAGCTTTGGCTTTATACAGGCTATATTTTTAAGGAAGAACAGCGGGATAGATTGGGGTTAAAAAATGACAGAAATGCCTACTTACTGTAAGTCATGTAGTCCAAAGGCCTAGAGTTTTGTGGATTATACAGTTTCAAACCTCTCTGGACTTGACCTTCTTGCCATCTCCCTGGGGAGAGTCTATTCAGCATCCTAATAGATCCCAAACCTGGAGGTTTTTCCTGCTAGGCAGCCCCA